AAAATAAATAAAGCATTTAAGCCAGTGTTCACAAGTATCTTGAGGTGGAGCATGTTCACCATAAGCTTCCCGAAGTATACGATAACTTTCATCAGCACTTTTCTTCAAAATAATGAGTTAAAACTGCCCGCAAATGCTTCTTTTTTGGCACAAAATTCGACATTTTTAAGTGTAAAAATATCTGATGTTAACACCTTCAGAAAATTTGACATGAAGTTTTGAAGCCTGAGGTCAATACTAACAAAATAGCATGCATATCAAATCGCATATATATCAACATATGTGTAACTCCATCTATTGAAAAAAATCTGCATTATTAACCAGTACACCTGGTACAAGTACCAATTAATGGATCAGTGTTTACCTAGACAGGCTGTTTTGTAGTGCCATTCTGGAGGCCTGTTCTTGGTTATATTTTGTCTAACAATTTGAACATCAATTTGGATGAAGATATTGAAAAGACTTGCCTATCAGATTTATAAATAGTCAGTGCTTGCAAGTTGGAAGGTGTAGAAAATAGACAGTTGAAACTATTGATTGGAACTAACTGTCAAGTTGAAATACGAAATATAGTAAATAATTTGTTTAAATTTACATGGCACTTAAGATGGACCAGATATCAGTCTAAGCACTTCATGTATTAACTCATTTCCACTTACAGTTACCCTTTACGGTAGGTATTAAAACAGAAGTCAAGTAACTTACCCAAGGTTACACAGCTTGTAAGTGGCAAATCAGGTCTTAAACTTAGGCTTCTGGCTTCACACTATGTAATCTTTAATGAGTGCACCATACTGCCTGCAAAAGAAATAAGAATTAAGCCCCATATTCAGGCTATTAAAATTAATTAGGTTTAATCGTAGTTTATTTGGGAAAAAGTTATTTGTAGGTTCATACCTATAAACTGGTAATAAAGCTGCCAGATTAACTCGTGCAGTCTTGGGCCTCATTATTAAAACTGGATCTATGAGGTCATCTTTCAAATCCACCCTCACCCCTTTATCACCCCTTTACTCCATCTCTTGCCTCGACTGTTTCAATAGAACCCTAGTTTATCCTGC